ATATTTTTTAATAACTAATATATTTCCTGGAAATCACTTATCAACCTAGTTTTGCCAAAATTATTACTACCATTCATTCCACAATTAACAGACTGAGTTTAAAACAAAAATTGCCTGACTTGAGTTTTATTTTCTGTCTATATTCTTGATCTCATCTTGGGGAAATTGCTCTACTAATTGGTGGCCCCAAAAGGAAAAAAAAAGTAAGGAATAACACAACTTCATCAAATAAGATCACCAAAGAAATCATTCTAATACTATGGAAACTATTTTAACAAATAAGCACTCTAAGATTATTTAAAGAATAAAATAAACTATTTCCTCACCTGCTATCAGAAATAAAAAAGACTGAAAGCAAAATAATACAAAAAAATGTGGGGCACAAAGAGACATCTGCTATTAACTTCACCTGTCTAGGAACTGTCTCTTACAGTAAAATTAAACAAGATCAATATATTTTCAGTGATGACTCAAAGGAGGCACACATCTACACCAATAACACCATGAATATAGACAAAATCAGCATAAGATATTTCACTCTATGTTGTACTTTGGTCTACCTAGTAACAAACAATTTAAGGTATAGTTAAGTATTTTATGATTAATACTTTTAGGAACAAAGGCCAACAATATTACATTCTGCATATGGCAAACAACACAGAGAAAAGTAAACAAATAAGTAAACAAATAAAGAAAATTTATATGCAGCACATTATAGGCCTTTTCATATGACATTAAGTTCAATCGTTTTAGGAACCTGAGAAAACACTCTCCCTAAAGTCTGACTTTCAGTGTGTCCACACAATGTTATGTCTAAGGAGATATTTTTACCTTACTAACATTGAATGGGTTTGTAAATTCTCTTTTTCCACATCTACCGTCACATCTGCAGCTCAAGCATTTCTTTCTCAAGAAAGAATTAAGGCCACGCAAGACAAAGAATTTGCTGATACACATATGTCACTCCAAGAATTTTCCTGACAAAGTCTCCACACCCAATTTAATTACTTCCCTACTGTAAAAACACTTTCCATCTGTATTCATTCTAATCTTTTCAAATCCAAAACCAACATACTATAAAGTGAGCTAAATGAGTGACATGAGCTTTAGGTGCCAAGTGAGGCAGCACTTTATAAGGCAGTGGGTCTGTAGCCGGCAAGCATTTTATGCTGATGCAGTATTTCATTTGGAGCTCAGTTCTTTACTTCATGTTTTGTTAGAATAGAATTCTTTAGCCATAGGCTTTTAAATCTCTATCTGAATCTCTCATTCTCTCTCTCCCTCCCCTCTCTCTCTCTTTCCCTCATTCTCTCTCTCTCCACCCTTCCCCCTACCATGGAGCGAGAGGAAGAGAGAGGGGGAGAGAGAGAATATCCGAATGTTTGTGGTTTTTGATGACCATGAAAGAATCTTGTCATATATGTATATACTAAAGTGATGTTGTCTATAATAAAGGCATTTTGGTGTGGGGTGCTTTATGATAAGTTATTAAAAACTGAACCTCAGTACATGCATATAATAAATATTGTGTGGGATACATATATATACATATATATATATGATTGGCTGGCTCCTGCGTGCCCCACACTGAGGATCAAGCCTGCAACCTGGGCATGTGCCCTGACCGGGAATCAAACCATGACCTTCTGGTTGAAGCTCAACCACTGAGCCACACCGGCTGGGCTGGACATTTCTGGATTCGTTGACTATTCAGTAAGTTATTGTATGCTTTTTGCACCGAATGTTCTTTACCATAGTTTATTCTCTTCTTGGTATTCCATCACTGCATTAATTAAGTGCTAGTTTTGGCACCTTAATACCTATGACTAACAGAGAATCTAAAAATAGTCACATATTTATTTTACAGACACTTTTAGGCTGTGCAGACTGTCCCCTGAATCAGAAGTTAAGAGAGGAGACCATCCACTATCAAAATGACTGGACAATTTGAACCAGTAAGTGATTCTAGATCATCTTGAAGGTCTTTCCATCTTGGATTTTAATAAGAAAGGATTGTTGTTATGTTTTGTTTTTGATATCACAAAGTATTAATCTTTAGAAATTGATTTGTCTAATTTTATCCATTTATATCACAAATTAGGAAACTTTTAGAAGCAGGCAATCCATGGTAATTGACTACTGGTATCCAGAAAGTCGAGCTACTTTTCAATTAATATATATTATTCTAGAGGCCCAGTGCATGAAATTTGTGAATGGGGGGGGGGGGGGGGGTTTGTCCCTCAGCCCAGCCTGCACCCACTCCAATCTCCAATCTGGGATCCCTCTCACAATCCAGGACTGCTTGCCCCCAACCACTCGCCTGCGGGCCTGCCTGATTGCTTTAACCACTCTGCCTGCCAGCCTGATTGACACCTAACTGTTTCCCTGCCAGCCTGACTGCCCCTAACAGTACTCCCGTGCCAGCCTGGTCACCACCAACTGCCCTCCCCTGCTGGCCTGGATCCCCCCACAACTATCCTCTGCTGGCCTAGTCACCCCTCCCTAACTGTTCTCTCCTGCAGGCCTGATCACTCCCAATTGCCCTCCCTTTTAGGCCTGGTCCCTCCTAACTGCCCTCCCCTGCTAGCCTGATTGACCACAACTGCCCTCCCTTGCCAGCCATCTTGTGGCAGCCATCTTGTGTCCACATGGGGGCAGCCATCTTGTAAGTTTGAGTGATGGTCAATTTGCATATTAGCCTTTTATTATATAAGATAATATATTATACATTAATATATTAATATAATACATTAAATATGTGATATATTATAAAATGATAAAATACATTTTAGGTAGTCATCATTTTCCTTAAAAATAAAATTATACTTTTAAGACCATATGACTTGAAATGTACTAGATAAAAGAAAATGATCCAATTCTAGTGAGCTCTAAACTCTATTTTGTCTCTGACTTATTTACATCAATTGTGAATACAATCAGTTTGGTGACTTGCTTCATTTATTGAAGCACAGCATTGTCTGTCCAAAAATCCCAAGTGGCTTTTTGGACAAATAAAAAAATATTTGATATGAACTATTAATAAGAATGGTGGTATAGTTCTGTTTTTCTTAGTAATCCTCAAGACCAGCTGCTTGCAAAAAATATTGAATTACTTAAATAAGATGTCATAGGTAGGTCATTCATAGAAGTCAGTGAAGTGCTTTGGAAGGAAATGTCTATGCATCCTGGAATTACTGCTTTGTATGAAAACATGCAATGGTTCATTCATTTCCTAATGCTCCAATAAGCTAAAACTATCTGGTCCTCTTTTGAAATCTAATTATAAAGAAAAAAGATCAAATGTCATAAATTTTATAGCAGATTATATACTTAATGATCCAAAAGAAAAGACTATATATAAATCATTTTAATATAAAATGTATTGAAATTAATTATAGAAATGTCATACTGCATAAAGCAAAGAAAAGGTTACTCAAATTGTGAATGGACTGTAAAAATATATACTTGCCATCCAAAAAGAATATATGGCAGTTATTAGCACTTTACCTAGAGCTATATTGTTTTATTATACCAAGAAAATCTCCGTGTACATCAGATGTTTGAACAAAGGATAAGATAAACAGGCCCATCTTACCATTAAATATAAATTTCTGAATTAATAGGTTATGATATACCATTAATACCATATTAAAGATATGTGTTTATTGTGGCAATGGTATTTGCAGTACTTTCCCTTATCTATGTATTTAAAATTGAGACCCTGGATCTCAAAATGAAAATGTGTAGATCTGAAAAAATCTGTTGAGCATGTAGTGACTTGACCACTTTCATTCATCATTTATACAGGCTCGAAATAACCAAAAAGAGAATCTTAATTAGCTATGATGCACACTGTAGCTGCCAACCTGCCTGATCCATCCCAATTGGCCTGTCCCAAACTCCCTCGGCCACTCCCTCTAACTCCCCCCCAATCGGGGGCGAGGCCTGGGCTGGCCAGCCCTCCAATAGGTATCTATTGCCAGCCAGGCCAAGGAACCCCACCCATGCATGAATTTGTTCACCAGGCCTCTAGTTAAGTTATAATTTTCTAATTTGACAGCATCCACAAAAATCTAGCAATGATTAAAAAGAAAAAGAAATACTGTAGTTTTTCTTTCTTTCTTTTTTTTTTTTTTTTTCATAAAAGCATACTAGTAGATTTGAAACTTATTCAGTTTGTGGCGAAATTTCAGATGTGAATACATGAAAGGAGGTTGGTAAAAAAAAATGAAGATGAATGTAAAATACTGTTAATGAATGCCAAGGGAAGATATTTTCAAGTATTTCTAGAGATGTTTCTGCTATGATTCTTTAAAGCTGACTATAACCATTGTTGTAGTTAACTAGAGGCCCGGTGCATGAAATTTGTGCATGGGTAGGGTCCCTAGGCCTTGCTGATGATCAGGGCTGATCTGTGAAGTGACTGAGGATAGATGGACGCAATCAGAGGGGCCCCCTGCTGGTACCCGCCTTGGCTGGCCTAACACCACCTACATGCTGGCCCTACTCCTCTCCCCCCACGCCCCCGGTGCCACCACTAGTCATGGCCTGTGGACTGGGGGCAGCTTCTGTGTTGAGTGTCTGCCCCCTGATGGTCATTGTGCATTTTGCAACAGGTCTTTCAGCTCTTCAGTCGATTTGCATATTAGGCTTTTATTATATAGAATGGTTCCCTAGCCCAGTAGTTGGCAAACTCATTAGTCAACAGAGCCAAATATCAACAGTACAATGATTGAAATTTCTTTTGAGAGCTGGAAACCAGCTTCTGTGCATGGGCCACGAAGTTTAAATAGCATTGTATGTGTGTGCCTGCATGTGGTACTTTGTGGAAGAGCCACACTCAAGGAGCCAAAGAGCTGCCTGTGGCTCGAGAGCCGCAGTTTGCCCTAGCCCATCAATTTCCAGACAGATAAGTTCTTTAAGAAACTCAGTATTTCAAATCACAGTTATATCTGGAAAATCAATTTTCTTAGAAAGGCTTGGCCTCCATTTTACTGTACCTGGAGTTCTGAGGTTCTGAAACATCTGATTCTGTGCAGGTTTTCTTTACCTGTAAGAAAAGAGTTCTAGTTATTCTCATATGAAAATACAACTTCCTTGTTCAGGTTCACACACTTGTTAAACTTAAAGTGGATACAGCTCTGCTCACCGAGATCTCTATAAAATACTCCCCACATTTTACAGCAGCAGCATGCAGTACTAAATAGTGTATTTCATTATTTTCCCATGAACAGCTGCCAAAGGCACTTCCCTAGACTCCATTAGTATATAAAATGTTCAGCTAAAATAGCCCAGGACTAGCTCAATAAGGAACAAAGAAACCAAAGAACCAGGCTTCCCACTTAGGAACTAGAGAGCCATACTGTTCCCAATTCACTAAGAAATGTTTTTCAATCGATACGGTTTCTGTCTCTCACAAAAGCGCACAATAATAAACAGTAGGTTCTGGGAGCAAAGCGTTGTGTTAGCTAAAACATTTATACATTAATTTTCATTTTTCTCAATCCAGTGGCTGTATGTTTTATTTCTCAGCATATTAATGAAGTTTCTGCATTGCTCACAGGCTTCTCATATGTATTTGCAGTATATTTTTGCAGACTGTATTTCAACTTTGTGGTTTCTAACCCACAAAGGTTAAAGAATGGAAATAACTTTTACTTCAAGGACATGCTATCCATGTCTATACAATAGAGTGCAATACATTTTCTAAAATAAGGTAAAGCACAAATTCACTGCCTTTCACAATTTAACTGCAATCACAGTCACATATGTTTGATTATTTTTATGGTCTTAATGGTATATTGTATGAGTAAAGTAGATTCAATTTAAAAAATCCTTTAGTTAATCTGAAACACTAACAACACACATTTCTATGTCCACTGTCATATACTCTGGTGTCTATATTGCCATAATCTATTTATGTAATTACAGAATCCAAGGCATTTCAAATTTGGATGTATAGCTTGGAAGTGTACATAAGTATACTGAATGTACACCATGGGTATGAACTGCAGTCTGTTTTGAATTTTAACGATACAGCCTTGTCTTTGTAGCACATGACTAACTCTTTTCTCCTCTGATTAGAAGAATGCTTAAAACAAGCACAAAGAAAACCCCTACACATTAAAAAAATTCTGTCTTTTGCTATAAATTTAAAGTCCAGACATTTTTATAATGTGGGAAAACAATTATTTGCTTGATTAAATGTTATCTCATTTACATCTTATGTGCACATTTATACAATGTGAAATATAACTGATTAACAAAGAGATGATCCTATTTGTAACATTTTCTATGCCCAATACATGGAATTCAGCACCATGAGATGAAAGGGTGAAGAAATGTTTCTAAGAGTAATTAGTTTAAAAAAAATACTTTTCTTAAAATGTCAACATATAAGTCACTACAAAACCCACAAAAGTCTTATGTTCATTAAAATTTGTCCAAGGAAAATAAAAATTGAAAGGGAAGGATACCAGAATAAAAACCTTATTTCCTATGATTCATCACCAGAAACTACAGGAACTGCCCAATAAATATGTAGAAATCATCTCAAAGTGAATGTCACATTCATCAAGACTATGACGACTTGATTTGGGGACTGACTAAAGAAGCTCCAGAGCACATATGCACAATTAGAAATATACACCCAATCAAGAATCAGAACCTAGATAAGCTTCCTATGGCTCAAAAAACAAAGAACACATTTTTAATACCCATAGCTACACAAAACATCATTGTCCAAATAATTACCAGAAAGTTCTGATTATTTTAATTTTCTCTCAGAGGATTTACTGTAATGGTAGAGGACACATGTATTGATTTCTTAGTATCTAGTACTCATAGAGTCCTAGATCCATAGCTAATAAATATGTGATGAAAAACTGAAGTATAGATATTCTCTTAGATATTCTAAGAAGCATGCATTATTCAAAATGATTCTTTTTAGGGGTTTCATTCATTTGCTCATAGTCAAACGAGGGAAGACTAATATTTGGGATACCATGACTACTATAGGAGAGACCTATACAGTGTTGTGGGTGTTCAAAGGATAATCTAACCCAGCCAAAGGAAGATGGGGATGGCAACAAACTTCTGAACAAGTCTTAAAGAATATAGGCCTCAAAGAAAGGCAAGTATTTCATCATCATGAGGTTTGTGAGGAACCATATCATGAAGACCTTATAAATGGTAAAGAAACTGGAATGTAATCTTGGTCCAAAGAAGACCATTTAAGGGTTTTAAGAAACAGAATGAGTAGAGATGATATAGAACAGGGGTGGAGAACGTCAAGCCCTCAAGCTTCAAAGGCCCACGAAATCATTTGGTCTGGCACTGCCAAGGCATTAGGAGTGAAGTAATTAAATGTTTGACCAAATATACCATGTTTCCCTGAAAATAAGACCTACTTACAGGTTTCCTGAGTGAAATATAAGGCATCCCCCAAAAATAAGGGCCCCCCCCCAGGCTAAACATGAGAGATTTAGTCCACTGATTCTGAAAGAAATGGAGTCACAAGAAATTCACCAGGAAATTCAGGAATTGGATTGTTATGATTATGTTCCAGAAGATGATGACATGATTGTCATTGAATAAATGAGTAAATTCTTGATACTGTAGGATTCACAAGTTTGTCTGGTTTGTGTAGACAACTACCGTACTACCGTACCATATACAGGTAATAAATTTCCTTTATTTTCATTTAACAATAAATGTGTATCATATTCTTCTTCATGCAAAAAATAAGACATCCCCTGAAAATAAGACCTAGCACATCTTTGGAAGCAAAAATTAATATAAGACACTGTCTTATTTTCGATTAAACAGGGTAGCAGGCTAATTTTTAAGATGATAATTTTGTATGGCCCATGAATGATGCTCTAAATATCCAAATGGTCACTGGCAGAAAAAGTAAAGGTTCTTATCCCAGGTAAAGAAGATAGTATGGATGCCAGACTGCAGTAGCTCAGTGGTTGAGTGTTGACCTATGAACCAGGAGGCCGCGCTTTAATTCCTGGTCAGGTTTGAAAGCTTGCCCTCGAGTAGGGCATGTACAGGAGGCAGCCGATCAATGATTCTCTCTCATCATTGATGTTTCTTTCCCCCTCTCTTCCTTTCTAAAATCAATAAAAATGTATTAAAAAAAAAAAAAAAGAAGATAGTATGGGGGGAGGACAAGGTGAGGGCTGAAAGACAGATAACTGCCAAATGCAACAGAAGAGAAAGTGTAAGTTCCATGAAAGCAGAGAAGGCACTCACTACATCCCTAAGCTTAAGTAGATGCTCCCGGCTGTGGTCCTAAGTGTCTGTGTCCTCCCAGAATTTGTATGTTGAAATTCTAACCCTCAAAGATAAGGAAGGTGGGTGTTTGGAGGTGCTTAGATCATGAAGGTGGATCCTTTATGAATGGGATTAATGCTCTTATAAAAGAGACCTCACAGAGCATGTAGACCTTCTACCATTGAGGAGACAACCAGAAGGAAATGGCGATGAACCAGAAAGTAGATTATCACCAGACACAAGCAAGCTGGTGTCTTGAACTTGGATTTTTTAAATTCCAGAATTATGAGAAATAAATTTCTGTTGTTTATGAACTACCTAGCCTGTGGTATTTTGTTACAGCAACCCAAATGGGCTAAGAGAATCCCCAAATATTAATTTACTAAGTAAATAATTCAGTTCATTTGTGGGAGATGGTAAAGAACCATAGGGAGTTAAGAGAATGTTTTTGGCAGATATTTCTGACACGAAATTGTCAGAACATTTTTATTAATTGAGGCAAAGTATAAAGTAGAATATAATCTGACCTTTTCATCCATCCTTAAAAAAAAAATTTAGTAATACCAAAAAATGAAAAAAAAAGTTAATTTAGGACTTTAAAATACTTTAAAACCTTACCTTATTTCTGAATCGATGGAGACAAGTTTTAAGAATCATAAAGAAAGTTATATGTTTATAGTGTCTTGAACATGAAATTGGAAGCCAAATGGAAAGTTTTACCTAAATTTGAACACACCCTCTCATTTGAGAGATCAGCAACACTTCATTAAATGGTGACTGCTGAAACATATATGCTATTGAAGAAAGAATATTATTACAAAATATATAGAACCTTCTTTCTTCAATGACCACTGATTTAGTTTTGAATACAGTTGAAACAAGCAGGTCAAGAAATGAGACAAAATTTTATCCTACAATTTAAATACAAATCCTAGTTTTCATAAAACACACAAGGAGGTGGGCACAAATGTGACAATGTTAAATACATTTAAGTGTTTGCATTAATGTGAATTTTAAATCTACTTATGTTATTAAAGTACATGCATCATCAAAGCAAGATGAAAAAGAATTAAAAGTTTAACTATTATAATAAACATATAAATGTATCAAAACACTGAATTTAAAAAAATAAAGGAATGAATAATACTTAAATGAATACTACCTAAAACTTTTGAATGTTTGTCATATGCAGGAACAGTGCTTAGGTAGATATTAATTTTTTTTTCTAATTCACAGATGATAATATTTAGAACCAAAAAAAATAATCTGCAAGTAATTTCTATAATAAATTTCAAACCCAGATTTATGAAGGCATTATAACTAGGACATGTTAAGAACACAATATTCATTTACATATAAGCTGCAATGTTTAAAATTAAGATGCAAAGTCTTAAAATTTAAAAGTTCAGTTTTTATTATATTGTAATAATAAGTATCACCAATTTTGCTTTATCACTCACTGTGCTGGACCATATATATGTAATCACATCTATGAAGACATGTATGCTGAATGAAATCCTTCATGTACAAATGAGAAAACAGGCTCAAAACAACAACAACAAAATAAAACACCTAAGGTCCAATGTTCCATAGCTAACACTAAGAGGGGTGGAATTTGAACCGAATGTTATGCATCAAGCCCTTCTTTCTCTTTTATGCTAGATATGCCTATTGCTTTTGTTAGTTGTTGTTTTTTTTTAACTAAGAGTTAAACCTAATGTTCCAAGGAACACCATTTAAAGAAGAACCTACCAGTTAATTGTAATATAT